GAAATATCCAGAATGGCCACCTACTGCAGAGTCATGGTATTCCTTCATAATAACCTGAATTCTGTGGGATCCTTTAGGTATTACCAACCTCCCTTTGTAGTATAAGAGCCCCCCTTTCATCTTGTAATACCTACACATACCCGGCTGTATCATTATCTTCTGAATCATCTCTCCCCATCTAGGATCCTTCTCCAGTTCTTCTCCCAAACCCTCCCATTCCTGGCAAGTAACTGTTGAAAGAGCTGTAAAAGAGGCTTTTCTGGATAGGGCATCTGCAGCTTTGTTTTCAATCCCTGGTTTATACTTAATGATGAAGTTGTACCCCATAAGTTTAACTATCCACTTTTGTTGGTTTTCTCCCATTACTTTCTGTTCAGTCAAATGTTTCAAACTTTTCTGATCAGTATGAACCTCAAAGTTTCTTCCAAGAAGGTAAGGTCTCCACTTCTGAATGGCAAACACAATTGCCATAAGTTCTTTTTCATATATTGATTTAGTCAATTGTCTAGGTGATAGTTCCTTGCTCATGTAGGCAATAGGACCCCCTTCCTGCATAAGTACAGCACCCAGACCTCTTCCAGAAGCATCTGTCTCTATCACAAATAATTTTGAAAAATCAGGTACCCTCAAAACAGGTAATGAAGTCATGGCCTCCTTCAATTCATTGAATGCTTTAGTAGCTTCATCTCCCCATTTAAACCCATCCTTCTTGAGTAAAAGAGTCAGAGGTGCAGCAATCTTGCTATACCCTTTTACAAACCTTCTGTAGTACCCAGTCAACCCTAGGAAGCCCCTCAATTCCTTCAAATCTCTGGGTATGGTCCATTTCTTCATAGCTACAATTTTCTCAGGATCAGCTGCCACCCCTTCTGCAGATATTATATGTCCCAAATAACTCAGTTGATCCTTTCCAAATGAACACTTCTTGATATTTGCTACCAATTGGTTGTCTTGTAAAGCTCCCAGAACTTCTCTCAAGTGCTCTTTATGATCATCCTTAGTTTTACTGTAGACTAAGATGTCATCAAAGAACACTAAAGCACATTTTCTCAGAAAAGGTCTCAACACCTCATTCATAAGAGACTGGAAAGTTGAAGGTGCATTGGTCAGCCCAAAAGGCATCACTAGGTACTCATAATGCCCTTCATGAGTCCTAAAAGCTGTCTTATGAGTATCACTTGCCTTCATTCTGATCTGATGATATCCAGCTTTAAGATCTAGCTTAGAAAAGATTCTGGCACCACCTAACTCATCCAGCAGTTCCTCAATTACTGGAATTGGAAACTTATCAGGTATGGTCACCTTATTCAAAGCCCTATAATCTCCACAAAACCTCCAGCCTCCATCTTTCTTTCTAGCTAAGAGTATGGGGCTACTATAAGGGCTATTACTGTTCTTAATGATTCCAGCCTTCAACATCTCAGCTATGATTTTCTCAATTTCATTCTTCTGATCAAAAGAATACCTGTATGGTCTGATATTAGGGATATATGCTCCTTCTTTGATATTGATGGCATGATCACAATCTCTGGCAGGTGGAAATTTCAGGTTTGCAGTGAATACCTCTGGAAATTCTGTAATTAACCCTTCCCAATCTCCTCCATCACTGTTCTGTTCTTGAATCCCCTGTTGTCCCTCATAGTACAGCAAATAACCATCCCCCACCTGTTGAAGAATATGTGCCATAGTTTTCATGGAAACCTCCATCTGATTTGCTACATTGTTGCCTTTTATCAAACAAGTGGCACCCTGCTTCTTCCATTTGATTGTTTGCTGTTTAAAATTGACCTCCATATCTCCAAGTTCAGTCAACCATTCCATCCCCCCGGTCAACGGTTGGTGCTGAGGAGGTTGAGTGACGTTCCCCCCGGTCCTTGGCAAGAGTGCGCTGAGGACGGTGGGGTTCTGAGCTAGGCTGGCGATGAAGACCGACAGCGCGGCCTGGACCTGTGGATCCACGGACGGAGAGGCCGCGGCCATAGGCTGGGCCGGGGCGTGGTCCGTCTTCTCAGCTCGTTTCTTGTCCAGGCCGAGGCGGGCATCAGGGACTCCGTCGTTGAGTTGGTTGCGGAGGTCCGTCGTGAGGTTGAAGGCCTCCTGGAAGAGGTCCCCTCCGCCGACCTGGTCGGCCGTGGCGTCCTCATCGTGCTCCCTGGGCTCTTGGTCTTCAGGGATGGCTTTGCTGACGAGGTTGCGGTTTGACTTAGTTCTCCCCATGATTAGTGGTTAGCTGTGCTTGGTAGCGACGAAGGGTGCTAACTTGATTGTTCTAGCTCTCAACGAGAGCACCAAATGATAGAGTATATCTCTAGAGAGAAGTGAGAGCTAGAGAGAGAAGTAGTATATCTGCTTCAATAGAATGAATTCGTAACCCCTATAACTACTCCCAAGGGGAGTATTTATAGAGAAAATTAGGGTTGGGCTCCCAAGCCTTGGGCTTGGGAGGCCCATTTACAACTGGACCGCTACTGGGCCGAATACAAAGCCACTAATGGGCTGTACAAATGAGTAAGTATAAAATCCGATTCTGTGAGGTCTTCGTGGCCGACGAGGGCGTGGCCGACGAGGGAACGGCCGACGAGGGCACGGCCAACGAGGGCACCCGGGTTCCTTGGACTCAGGACCATAATCCGAGTTGGCCCCTTTTCGGCCGACGGGGGCGTCCTGGCCGACGAGGACGCCACTCTGTGCCTTGTGCTTTCTGTTCTTCCGAGTATGTGGGTCCGGGGGCTCAGACCCATATACTCCATCAGAGGTCTTAGACAAGGAGATCCCCTTTCTCCTTATCTATTTATTCTTATAGCAGAAGGGTCGAGCGCTCTTTTGCGGCGATTGGAAGGCGGGGGGAGATTCATGGTGTGGCGGTGTGTAGAAGGGTCGAGCGCTCTTTTGCGCCACGGGTTTCACATTTGTTATTTGCTGATGATTGTTTTTTATTCTTTAAATCCTTGAAAGAGGAATGTGCGGTGGTGAAGAATATTTTGAAAACTTATGAACAGCAGTCAGGTCAGATTGTAAATTTTAATAAGTCTTCCCTTTCTTTCAGTCAGAATGTTGGCGAGCAATTTCGCGAGTACTGTAGCATCCAGCTGGGGGTGCCGAGGGACGGGGGGAATAATTTTTATTTGGGTTTGCCTGCGATTGTAGGAAAAAATAAGTCGGTGATTCTGAGTTATTTGAGAGACCGTATTTTTAATAAAATAAAAAATTGGAATAACCGATTTTTATCTCGCGTTGGGCGAGCGGTGTTGCTTCGTAATGTTATCCAGGCTTTACCAAATTATGCTATGAATGTGTTCCTTCTGCCAAAAGATTTATGTGACGAAATTGAGAAACTCATGAATGGCTTTTGATGGAAGGGATCAAAATTTGACCAAAAAGGGCTGAGGTGGAGAAGGTGGGAGGTTTTGTGTAAACCAAAGGAGGCAGGGGGTTTGGGGTTTAGACGGATCAGAGAATTTAATATTGCTATGCTAGCGAAACAAGGCTGGAGACTTATTACTGAATCGGGGAGTCTGATGAATCATGTGCTGAAGGCCAGGTATTTTCCCTCTTCTGATTTTTTACATGCCAAGCTTGGGAATAATCCATCTTTTATTTGGCGAAGCATTTTTGAATCCCAAGAAATTTTAAAAAACAATATTAGAAGACGTGTGGGGAATGGTATGGATACCCATGTTTGGGGGATGCTTGGCTACAAGGGATAAATGGCAGAGTGTCTTCTGCGAAGCCCGTGGGAATACAGGATATGGATGTTGGCACGCTGCGTGATACAACCGGAAATAATTGGCTCATTGATAGAATAAATAAGTTGTTTAATCAAGAGGATAGGAGCAAAATTCTGAGTATTCCAATTATTGTACTAACAGGAAAGACGGCTACTGGTGGACTGGGGAGAGAAATGGTATGTTTTCGGTAAAGAGTTGCTATAGATTGCTCATGGGAGACCAACTGGCAGGCGGATGGAATGACTGGAACAAGTTGTGGGGCTTAAAGGGGCCTCCAAAATTTAAATATCTTGCCTGACAGGTCTTGGATGGATCTTTACCTTCAGTTCATAATCTTAAGCGGAAGGGGATTAATATTATTGGGGGTTGTAAATTATGTGGGCAGCAGGATGAGGACACGGACCATGCTCTTCACTCTTGTCCGAAGGTGGAGCAAGTTTGGCAGGAAGCTGGAATTTCGACTGATCTACAGCTAAGTTCCTTTGAAGATTGGGTCCGTGGCAAGGTTGAAATAATGGATAGGGCGGCTGGTAGTAAATTCATTGCTCTTATCTGGAGCATTGGAAACGCCGAAATATTGTGGTGTGGAAGGGTGAAGATACCGAGGCAACTGGGGTGATTCGCATGGCTGCTAGTATGATGGGTGCATGGTGGGATGCTCGGGGGTCAGCAGTTGCTCAGCCGAGTGATGTTTTGCATACGAAGGTTGTGGAAAAATGGAAGACACCGGAACCGGGTTTCTTAAAACCGGGTTTCTTAAAAGTTAATGTGGATGGGGTTGTTAATCAAGGTGGGGGAGTTCGAGCTTGGGGATGAGTGGCGAGGGACGAGAATGGAAATTTTATTCGCGCACGAGCCTCCTCTGTAAAGGCTGAGTGGTCTCCGGAGGAAACAGAAGCAATGGGGTTAAGGGATGCAATAAGGAACGCTTTAGAAGCGAGCTGGCAGAGAGTAGAATTCGAGACAGATGCACTCAGTGTGGTTCAGAGCCTGAAGGCGAAAGAGAGTGGAGGAGCTTACATTCATTTGATTGTTGATGATATTAGGAGGGTTTTGAAAATAAATAGTAATTTTCATCTCTCTTTTCGTAGAAGATCTGCGAATCATGTAGCTCATGCTCTGGCACGATCACATGTTACCATCTCAGATCATAGTGTTAATTATGATTGCATTCCGGATTCCGGATTGTACCCTAAGCCATTTGGGAAATGATGTTTTGATTTAATAATACTTACGTCTTGTGATCAAAAAAACAAATAGTACTACTGGGGAGTATGATACCATGTAGACGAACTTCACAATTCTCTCATCACTCTCTCTCTCACCTATCTCTGTCCAAACATATCTCCGATCAAAATTCACCATGAATTCAACCCCAATATCATCATCAGCAAATCTCTGCGACGATGTTTGGCCACCGGGGTTTCGATTTCATCCTACAGATGAAGAATTGGTTCTTTATTATCTCAAACGAAAGATCTGTCGTCGAAAGTTGAAGCTTGATATTATTGCTGAAGTTGATGTTTACACTCGGGAACCTGACGAATTACCTGGTATAATTGCTTACCCTTTTACCCTAATTCGTCGAATTTGGTTTCATATCGTTTGTTCATTTGAGGTTTTGATGGGTTCTTTTGTCTGTATGTTTATTTTCTTGACTTGTGCTCTGATGGGTTTTGATTATTGATATGTCTGTTGATTTTAGGACGTTGACTTATTTGATGGTTTTTTAATCTTTTATGGCTTTCTTGAATTATTGATCTGGGTTTTGTTTTTTTTGTTGATTGAATTCTCTTTTGATAAAATGATGGGATCATGTTAGTAATGTTTTTATTTCTTTTTTTTTATCATGTGATTTCATGTACTTATGTGCATTTATGTTTGTTTCTGTGTTACTTTGTTGGTGATGATGATGTATGGATGAGAATTTGACTATTACTCTGCCCCAGGCTGTGCCTAAATGATGATGTTATCATCTAGAATAGGATTATAGGATTTTGTATGCGCGACGTGTGATGCTTTTGGATTCTTCCGTGGTCAGTTATGTCCTTTAAAATGCTGTAGTAGGCTTAGAGTTCATTGCCAGTTTCAAATGTTCTGTTGCTGTTGAGTGTTGACTGTTTTTAAAAGCGAAATATTAATTGTACATTAGGCCTATGATGATTACCTATACAGCTGTTTCTTAAGAATTTAGATACTATCTTCATTGTTGACGAATGTGATGTAATGATGCGGATGTTGTTATAGTTTTTGTTAGCAGTGTGTTGTTTTAAATGTTTTTTTAGTTTCTTTTTTGCGCTTTGCAATGTGATGCTTATTTTTTTGTTGGTGATTTGGGTGCAGAGTTGGCATCGTTGAAGAATAGGGACAGACAGTGGTTCTTTTTTAGCCCCCGGGACAGGAAGTATCCAAATGGTTCAAGGGCAAACAGAGCCACTAGGCAAGGCTATTGGAAGGCAACAGGAAAGGATCGTATAATTTCCTGCAATTCACGTAATGTTGGGATTAAGAAAACTTTGGTTTTCTATAGGGGACGTGCACCCACTGGTCAGCGAACTGATTGGGTGATGCATGAGTACGTATTGGAGGAAGATGAGCTTAAGAGGTGTCAAAACGTCCATGATTATTATGTGATTTACAAATTGTTTAAGAAGAGTGGATCTGGTCCTAAGAATGGAGAGCAGTATGGAGCCCCATTTAGGGAGGAGGATTGGGCTGATGATGAATTTGTGAAAACCACTAGTAAGTTTGACATAGTGCCTGGTGATCACAATGTGGACGAAGTTCCTCATGCAGATAGCTGTAGAAATGCGCAGGTAGATCCCTCATTGGTTGATGTTGAGGAGCTTTTGAACGACATAGTTGATGATCAGGCACCGTTGCCAGTAAATCTTGATGACTTTGAACATGCACTAACTCAGGTGTGAACTTGTTTCTTGTGCATTTTTACATTCAGTTTCATGTTACTTTTGTGCTAATTTTGCAGAGGCTGTTAGTTTTTTACATTAATGCCATCTATTTTGAATAGGCAGAAAGATGTTGTGGATTTTAGTTTTATGGCGTAATTACTTCTGTTTTTAAATCTATACGAAACTTCAACTTCATATGACTTATTGTTTTCGTGTTATTTTAATTTCAGTTTCTCGGAGAAAAAGAGACTCATAGCACTGTTGTTAATGGATCGATTGAGGATCCGGTATATTTTGAGCCTTTAATGACGTATTATCCAGGCTCTCAACAAGATAATTTGGATTCAAGCTTTATTGCTGAGCAGTCATGGGATGCAACTGAGGCAGCATCTACTGCACATTCTGAATTCACTGGGTATCCAGAGCTCTTAGATCTTCAGTTTCCCGAGGAAGATTTTCTTGAGATGGATGATCTTCTTGGCACAAGGCCTGTGCAGTTTCCGCCAGCAAGTGACAGGATCTCTGGGAATGCCCAGCTGAGAGACGATGATGGGTTTGATTTGTTTAATGACTCTGACCTCTTCCTTGGTTTTAAATCTAATAACGAAACAGTAAATCCAGCTCAGCATCAAAGGCCGCCAGAAAATGGTTTTGTTTGCCAATCCCCAAATTCTGTCCCTACTTCTGGGAATGAGATGTGGAACTTCGGAGCAAATAATTGTATTCACAACTCCACAGAGGGATACAGAGGAACTATGCCTTTACCAGCGACAGGTACATATTTGCAGTTTCAATGCTGATACTTCTGCCTGCCCATGGGTGGAGCTTTATATTTTTCTGAGCAGCAATATTTCATAATATATATCAGTGGGCTAGATAGTTCTGATCTGCTGAATACAGATGAACTAATCTCCAATCTGGATTCAGTATTTTTTGTTTTTTGTATTTGTGCATGTATTTTTTTTACCATTCGAAATTTATTAATCCAGAAAATGTAGGAAGGGGAGGGACTAATGGGTATGTTTGTGTTTGACTTGGAGAAGGCAGCTTATCCTTGGTCGACTTGGAAAGCTTTTCAACTCATTGGATTTGATGTTTTTGCTAATATTAGAGTTTATGGGCATGTTCAGGGGCTGTGTATGCTGGTGGTTCTACAAGTATCGCCTCACAACCATACCAGGATCAGAACAGCAAACAGAATGAAGGGTCTCAAACATGGTTGTCTTCCACATTATGGTCGTTTGTGGAAGCGATGCCTGCTTCCCCCGCATCAGCCGCTGAGAGCGTGATGGTTAACAAGGCGTTCCTGAGGATGTCTAGTTTCAGTAGGGTAAGAATTAATTCTAAAAGCACTATCACTTCTTCAGCTGGTAGAGCTCCCGATATCGTAAGTGCAAGTGTAGGAGGCAGGGTAAAGGGGTTTTTCTTATTGTCATTTCTGGCAGCCTTGTTTGCTGTAGTATGTGTGTTTATTGGTTCACATTCTAGTGTATTTGGAAAATTGCGTTGTCGTATGGATTTGTAACATTAAGTTGTTTATCCATTTACTGAATGGATAGAGAAGTGCAGGTGAGTAAATAATGCCCTGCTCCTGTTTATTGACATGAATTGTCTATGTTTCTCTAGTGTTAATAGAGTTTTAGTATTTAACTCCTCTTCATTTGTGTATGTTGTTTTCGTTATAGGCTTATTAGCTTGGTTTAATTTAAAGTTTTCTTCGTTGCTGAGAACTTTAGGGCAAAGAAGTTATAATAGTAATTGCCTTATTCTCGGGGACTGGGGGAAGCCTGGGGTAAAAATAGGATTGAAACTCATCCATGTAATTTTGAACCCAAGACCTCCCGTAGTCCCGTTGAGAGAGTGAGTTGGTGACGGGTGAGCTGTCGAGTTGTTGAGTTGAACCGCTTCTTGGTAGTAATTGCCTTTAATAGAAGCAAAACATACCACTTTTTCCCAAGTAGAGTCGATCCTTAATTTTTCTAAATAGGAGTAAACATTGATTTTCAACCCCTAATACTTTTATTTTAATTAATTAAATTATTATTTAAGTGCCCCTTAGTTCTTTTGGGAAATCGGGTCAGTCCATTGGTAGCGGGTCAGACAGTTGGTGGTGGAGGTAGTTTTTGGGGTCACTGAGCTCCTGCAACGGCGCAATTCTGATTTTTTGGGGGGTCATCGGTGGCCAACGGGAATGAAAAATGTTAATGGAAAAATTAGGTCATTTTGGGAAATAATGAAAATAATTTCGGGTATAATTCTACACGTCCAAAGTCCAAACTAGGGGGTGAGCAAAAATACCGAAAATTTGGTATACTGCACTTACCGTACCAAAAAATACCGGAAAAAACCGGAATATTGGTATACCGCCATTTTCGGTATGGTATCATACCGTACCGATTTATTTTGGTATGGCAATGATAAATATTTTCAAATATTGTGATATATTGGTGTAATACCGTACAAACTCTCTACCAACAATTACTTTTAATTTTAAAATATTGTAAAAGTCCCTTGCAATTTTGAAACCCAAATTTAATACTTAGGTTGGTTACAAATATCAAAACACAAAAATTAAGGTACAACTTCCCAAACTCGATATAACCTTCTAGGCTTCTACTACGTAACATGCAAATAAACTAACCCTAATGACTTATGAGTAATGTACTAATGTCCATAAACAAGTTCATTTTGTTCCAAGAGCTTGAGAGTCGCGATGGTTGAGTCGCTGAGTAGCTGGCGAGCGAAGATGGTTGAGCCGGTTTAGATGTGTTGACTTATAAGTCAACACATCTAAATCGGTTCAACCATATTTATATGCTCCTCATAATATACTAGATCAGCGTGAGAAAAAATTCATAAAAATGTTTTGGTTTATTAAAGAGAAAAGGGTCAAATAAAGCCTTCTACTATTATGAAATAGTCACATAAGGTCATCTACTTCTAAAAAGCAATCAAATGAGTCCTAATGACCTATTTAACACCTCTTAATCCCGGTTTCAACGTACTTCTGACTATCTTTTTAGAATACATTATACGGCATATGTTGAATATTTAACTAAGATTGGTTGAAATACAAGTCAAAAAATCGACATGTAAGCTAAAAGCGGGATTAGGATGTGTTAAATAAGCCGTTAGGACTCATTTGATTGCTTTATACAAGTAGAGGTCCTTATATGACACTTTATTGAGTACATGATCTTATGTGACTATTTCGTAATAGTAGAAGACCTTATTTGACCCTTTTCTCTTTATTAAAAAAGATACCCCGTAGGACTTGTGGCATTTTGGGAAAATAATGAAAACCCTTAATTCCGTGGGTAATTCTACACGCCCAAACCGGTCTTACCATATTTTTATGCTTCGCATACTATTCTAATTAAATCAGCGCGTGAGAAAGAGGGAACAAAGTGTGGTGGGGGCTTCAATAATATCCATTAGCCACGGTAGACGTTCTCCGCAGGAGTGCCTATATCGTACAGCCGATTGTACGGTGAACACCATACAGCCGGTTGTACAATGAACACCATACAGTCGGTTGTACGGTGAACACCGTACAACCGGTGACATTTTGGTAATTTAAATGAAATTCGCAACTTCTGCTAAATAAGCATTAATTCACTTTTAATGAGCATCATATATATTCTGTTGAGTATCAGTAGTCTAATATTGAGCATCGCGGTCTCTGCATCGTATCTTCTAGTTTACTTTGTTTTTCTTGTTTTTCTGTTATAAAAATTTATTAAATTATATTTATAATCAACTCTTATGAGTTTTAATATATGAATCTAATGTGATATGATACTTCGTGCACTTCACGAGAGCAAAAAGACGGACTGGAAACGTAAAGAGAAATAACAAGCATCAAATGACATCTGAATTACGAGTAATTGCAAAAAATACCCGGTTGTACGGTGAGGACCGTACAACCGGGTGTACGATATTAAAAAAAAATCTCATGTGATCAACGATAGTCAATTAAAATAGCCACATAGGGATAAAAAATACTCCGGTGAAGCGGCCCCCGACCCACTACTGTGAGTACTACTTTGAAAATAAACATTTATATTGTGTCCCATGCGATAAACAATATTTTCCCAACCGAGTGAGTAGTACTATTATAATATGCTCTATAACTGTATTTATATATTAACATTTATACTATACATTTAATGACACTAGAATAACTAGTGTCATTAAAAACAAGATCTAATTAATAGATAGAACCTTATACAACTATACATTACATATTGATATTACTCATATAGTCTATATTGATCGTAGCGGGAGGCAATCAAAACACGAAATGTTTGCTCAAGCTAGAGTGGGTGATAAGAGGCGACGTTGGACTTCCTTCACTACTCACTAGTCAGAGTAGGTGAATAGACTAAGAGCTTCATAAGCATTAGCACCAAGAGGTTGAAGATACATATGTACATGTCTTTAATTAATATACTCCAATTCAAATCTTACATACCAATCAACTTCAAAGTTTTAATTTGGAAGCAGGCCACATTATGTTTTTGTTCAGACACATAGGATTATTAGTTTCCAAGAACAACATCTCCCGTGTGTCTCAATGGTTGTCAGCTTGATCATGATCGTGTGTAGGTCTAGCTACATCTAGTTTGAGCCGAACTCTTGGTTCCACCTCTCAAGATCTTCCCACTTGCTTTTTTGCAGACTAGGCCGGATCACAGCCATGGCCTTCTGAAAGTCTGCATATCTCAGACCTCTTACCTGGAGGTCATCAAAGGAGGATATTCAGTGAGCAAAAATGTCAAGCCATCTATCAACATGTAAAGCTTGTGGTCTAATCCTCCTATCGATTGACCTTTTAGGTTAGACTTCAAATCTTAATAGCAACCTGCCATACAAGAAATGCAGGCTTCAATGCCATGACATTAAGGGAGAGAGGGGGCAGGGGGCTCTTGTTGTGTTCTTGAAAGACATATTTTAAGAAGTTATGATCTGAATTGGAACCAATCATCATTCATTTGTATCAGTTCCTTTTAGAACTCTGTTGGATCACATTCTGAAGCATCTTCTAAATCTACCGAATCCTTGAATATATACATTTATTGAAGATTTACTTTTCTCTAGGTTACTTCAGTTAGGAGAGTATCATTATATGAATTACTCAATCATCTCAATGTGCAAATATAAAGCAATACTAAACGTGATAAACTTGATAATATATGGATTAGATGGATTTTATAAAATGATAAGACACATTGTGATCAGCCCCACCTGGTTTGCGTTCACTGTAAGAATGTCAGAACCAAGCTCTCTGATTGGCATCATTGCTGCTTCCTCGCACAAAGCTTGGAGATCACTTCCAGAATACCCTATCAAAGTTAGTTCAGAATCATTATCATATAGTAGGCTCTGTTCGGAACTCTGAAATGCTAGTGGATTAAAATATAGGAAAAAGGAGAAATTTGGAAGGAAGCAAAATGTGGGGTTAATTAAAGAAATGGATCAACCTCTTCAAAATACCAATTTTTAGCATATATTCATTCTATATCATATAAAGTCTAAGATTTCAAAATATATTCAAATATTTAAAAACTTTTTATCTTCCAAGGTAAGACAAAACATAGCCCTAAGGTATGAAGATAATGAGTGATCAAAGTTCCCATGAACACACTTCATTAGTACTGTACAAACATTTCAACCTTCTGTCTCTCTCACAAGTCTTGTGAGATCTCCATCTGGCAAAGATAAAAGACAGAGAAGAACATGTTAATTACTAAAGAGTAGTTCAACTCAAAAAATAGTGAACAAAACCAGTTGCCCAAAAAAACTGACCAGGCAAAGAGAACTGTTGCCCCTTGAGTCTGTGTTTTAGGAGTTGTCTTCTGACACCAGCATCTGGCAAAGGTATATATATTCTCTTCACCTGTATGTGGCAGAACAAAGTGGATCAGGAAGAAAGATAGTATATAAAATATGAAAATAGATAAGTTATTCGACTACATCATAGTATTAGCTATAACAAACACTATATAGTAGAATAGAACAGAGATGAGTAACCCACAGTCCATAATGACAGGGGAACATACAGTGTAAGGAGGGTAAGCACTGGTTTCACTTCAAAAGCAGCTACTGGCTTTATGTGGTAGTAGTATGAAAGTTAAAACTCTCCTTAGGATACAGGTCAGATGATTGAAACTCCCAAAGGCTACACCTAAATTTTAATTTTTGAAGTTCTCTTCACACGCCATTTTTATCACGTGAGGTGGACTTTGTATTTTTTTCTTTGTTGATGCCTAGGTCCGTCACTACATGACGAAAACATCTACTTAACGCAAGGACTTTTTCGGGTGACTTCAAAAAACAATCAAGGAAATATATTTACTTCTTTTAGTTTTTAACCCAAGTCAGGGATAAAGTTACTTTTCTAAAAGGTCAAAGCTAAAAACTAACCAATCTCCTGAGAACTGCATCATCCAATTCATGTGGCTTATTTGTCGCACCTGAATAACAAGCAGATAAATTTGACAGGGAAGTGAATATTTTATACTGTGAATATTTGGGAAATAGACCCAGCAAGATTATATTTCAAGATGACAATTTAGAAAGGGCATATGGCTGAATAACATAAAACGGTGTTAAAAGCATATAGATATGAATTAGCATCACTGTAGAGCCATTAATGTGTCTTACCAATGACAATTACCAAATCATCTGAATTACATGTGACACCATCAAACTGGATTAGGAATTCTGATTTCAACCTCCTGCTGGCTTCATTCTCATTGGTTGTCCTAGTTGACATAATACTATCAATCTGTTAACCACAGAGATTCTTAAAGTAAGGATCACACGAATGATGAAGAAAAAACACTTTTCAGAGAGTCGGCAGGAGTCAAATGCGTGTTTTCCATTTGGGTCCTTTTAAGAATTATCTTTATTACTTCTTAACATGAATGCAGTTAGTAATTGTGCTTTGACTATGTCTATTTAGTCTAAATCACCAAGCTAGGGTTAGGGGATTAGCAACATGGTTGTGATACTTAATTCATGCACCGGGAATTATTATTGGGATATAATTATATAAATTTACCTGGTTTTATACAACACACATGTGGTGCCTTGTTGTAAAAGGGTTTAAACTATTTTTACGTGAGCACTACAAGAGATCAGTAGACTATACATAGTATCAATTGTCCTAACTGGAAAATTAGGAATATATTAATGTTTGCAGGGTCACATGTCCAGTCTTGAATGAAAAGGGACGAGTTGAAGAATAACGATGTATATGTACACACACAGACAGGTTAATAGTAATTTTTGCAATTTATACCAACACTATTTTTATTCCTGTTCCGATTTTAGCCAATTCACAGTTTTGGTTGACCTTTAATCTGATATGGCCTCCTGATATGTTATTATCTACCATCACACACTCATACCCCTGAATATCTACCTAAGCAATTCAATTTTTTTCCTCCAATCCCGCACCGGCAATATATTCACCCACCAAAGTTTTTTAAATTAAAGCCTTCCTTTTACTATTATATATATATATATCAATTTTTGCCAAATCTTTTTGGGAATAACTAGATATTTATATTTAAAAGGTAAAACATTCTGATGTAAAGATAAATAAATTGGGATTAAATTTTTTGTTGTTACTTCAGATCTCTTTTTTAAAAAAAATAATTGAAAGATGTAAAGAAAAAATATTTTAAGAATGAGATCTTAATTTTAACACTTGGATCTATTTAAGAAAAATTTTGGATTTGAAAACCTTCAGCAGTTGAAACTTCACATTTTTTTATCTTTATATATACAATATTGGTGTCATATGAAAGATCATAAATAGTTATGAATTTTGATATATATTTTTTGTAAAAATTGGAGCACAAATAAAAAAAATTATAACTCTTTAAAAAAAGAGGGGTTTACTTTCCCCTGGGTCCCATGTCCTTGCTATGTGTCCGCTCATTTTCTTTCCTCTCCCACGCAACCGTATCGGGTGAATGGGGGTGCCAAATCCCCCACCATGGGGTGCCATCCTCCCACTTTGGCACCTCCTTATACATGGGTTGCACTATCTTTTGGGGTGAACATCTTTTGGGGTGAAAAGCTCAAAAATTGCTTTTTCACCCAGGGTTGCGGTCAGCCTTTGAGAGAGAAAAAGTAAAAAGCAACTACTCAAATAGTCAATTGTAGAGATAGTTAGTACCTCATCCATAAAAATTACAGATGGTTGCCTAGAAATGGCAACTGAGAAAAGGGTCCGAACAAGCTTTTCACCCTCTCCTACCTGTCATCAAATACAAAATACAATGAGAAACTACAAAAATAATGCTGAGCATTTTACAACCAAGGAAAACAACAATCAAATGAAACACTCACCCACTTTGAAGTTAGAGAGGACGCAGAAACATTGAAAAATGTTGCCTGAGATTCTGAGGCAACTGCTTTAGCAAGCAGAGTCTTGCCGGTACCAGGTGGACCAAAAAGAAGCAGGCCTGCAATACAAAAATTTAGTCTTAAAAACATCTCTTTCTTAGGTCACTAGCTGATAGAATGTCATTAGTCTCGGTGAATAATACCCCTTGCAGGCTTTCTAAGGCCGGTAAAAAGGTCTCGCCTTTTGGTTGGCAATATTACCATTTCCAACAGAGCTTGCTTTGCCTTTTCGAGGCCAGCTGTAGAAAAATAATTTTTAAATAATGAGACATAAATACAGAATCATAATGAGACACAAAGGGAGCATAATGGAAAGAATCTCACCAATGTCTTCCCATTTTACAGAAGGACTTCTGTCCACAATCACAGAATTTATCATTTCAGTCAATTTTGAATCATATCCACCGCCACCAGGATCCTGTACAGGTATTGAGCTTCCTACTTTTTTAGACTGGATCTTAACGTCAAGCTTTTGCTTATTGGATCCAGAAGGCTTTTCAACTGCAGGTTTTCTGCTATAAGAACTTGTGTGTGAAACGGCAGATACACTTTGGACCTGAGAACCACCACTCTGAATATAGAATAATAATGTTTAGAACAACCTAGCACATTATCCCAGAATCTGGTGTAGGAGGCTCCTCCCCCCAGGCCAAAAGTAACTTTAATTCAAGAAACTTTAAGTGACAATGTGACATGATTCCTCTACGTAACGGTCGTAACCCTTATGTCTTAGAATATCTATGGAAAATAATATACGTAGTATTATAGAACGTGACTGGAAGAAGAAGAAGAAGAAGAATGAATGAATGAAAATTAGATATCAAAACCGATAACTACTCTCCCTTGGCAGAGTTGAGCCCCTTCTAGCCCTTGGTAGAGAAGGAATTGAGGTGCTTGGCCTTACCAAGGACATAAAAATTAACTCCAAAATTATCTGTATTACTAATTATTAATGAATAGAAATCCTTAATTGCTACTCGTCCCAAGAGACTTTATTAGCAAGTATTCCACTCCTAAACTATTCAATGGGCAATTAACTAAAATAGAATACTAATGCCAATGCCAATAAGGCAATAAGATACTTAACTATCACAGTTTTACTAATAAAAGGAAACAAATACGGAGTACCATGGTAAATAATGTCAATAACTAGCATGAATAGTACTAGGCTGCCTATCTCAGAAGTTCAATTGATATTTTTAAAGAAATAATGACTAATATATGACTAAACATAGGACAGTGGACAAAAATTGACTTTTCATTAATAGTTATCAACTTATCATGAGAGTATTTTTAGTGACTATGGTTACATTCGATTTTAGTCACATTTTTGTCTATAAGTTTCATTTCAGTAATATTTAAAAAAAACTCACTTTTAAAAAAACTCTTGAATTAAGATTGTAAGAAGTCCCAACCCAGCCCCAACAGTGGCCCTAGAGGCAGGGTTCTGAAACCGACTCACACATATCAGAATAATGTAGACCTACACTTTGTCCAAAGCAGTCCATACCTTGATTACAGATGAACTACCTGAAATTCCTGCCAGCATGATGAAATCATGACAATGAATATAAAATCTACAAATGTTCTCTAATGGCCCAAATTTGGGTTTTTAAAACAAATTGGTTCAATTTGAAGAAAGAACCTGCTCTTCTTCTTAAAGTTTGAATTCTCTCTGCAACCTGGCCCTGCCACTGTGACATCTTTTGGCGATAAGATTTGGCCTTTTCCAGTTCACTGCCACACAGCCATAAACAGTTAACCAACTACGTACAAAATTAACAGCACACTAGATGCATCAGTATTGAAATGATTATACTAATATTATACTACGGAAAAGATAAGTTTTTTAGGAGCTTTGTGTTCCAAAAGTATACCAAACGCTCTTCACCTTTCAGTTCAACTAGGCTAAATCAGTACATCAGGTGTTTTGAACTGATAATAGTACAAGATTTTTAAGATCACATAAAAGCAACTATAAAAGAAAGACCAAGGTAGTATGACTTATATTAATGAGCTGCAACTGAAGTAGCAACTAGCAAGACTTCTGAAAAAATGTGATATTTTATGGTAATTGTATATAAGAACCGTTCCGAATGATCATACAAAGGTTCGGTATTCTACTTGTATACGATTCAGAGCATTAACATTGGGTGAAATGGAAACCTAGAGGTGATGTACGAAGGAACTGGTGTTGAAATGCCTTCGGACAGAACTTTCTGCGCATTTTGATAATAGGAAACGGCATCCTCGGCTAAGCCCCACTCCTCGGCCCGGACAGCTTTGGCGATCTCTTCTGTGGCAAAATCAAAGTAGCTTTTGAGCTTGTATGCCGTGCGCTCGTTGCCAGTGATCACGCCGTCCATCGATCGACCGTCAGGGTTTCTCTGAGATGGATACGAAGAAGAAGGTTTTTGATTGTTGAAGATCGAGCTGATGCTATCCACCAGCTCTTTGAGGAAACTCATGTCTAGTCACATAAGTTATTTTTTAGGGATTTTTACTTAATTAGTGGAATTCTTGTGGTAGATAGGCACATTTGGTACGGAAACATAACTCTCTACCTTCTAACTTTTATAATGTTCAAAAAGAGTCTAAAAGCTTCTAGTTATAGGTTTGACATGACAATTTTTAAGAGTTTTTCAAAAATTAAAAGATCTTTTTTGGAACAATGAAAAAAGTTTGTGACTTTTAGTATTAATTAGTCCTAAATCAAATAGTCAGTTTTTTACCAAACAGCTATCACATTTTCTCTTTAAGATCTTTCGAGTCACTAAAAGCTAACAGTTATTAAAAAGCTCACAAAAGTATCTTTTCAGCTAGTTGTGCCAAACAAACCTTATACCTAATCATATCTTATACTTAAAAGCACTTAGAGAGAAAATTATCATGTTTGTTCTTCACTTAACGGGCCTAAATGCGTGTTTTCTCCCGCAGAGCGCCTTTCATTTCCTCAATTCTTCGTCCTTCTACGCTTTATTTCCTTCTCGCTTCGGACTCCTACTGCATATAGTTTCTTTTGCTTCTTTCTTCTTCCCAAATCGCAACATGCGCCTCATAAGAAATCATCTACATGTACTATCTGCAGGGAAATAATCTGAAAAGAAAAATTGTTATAGCTTCCTTCAACTTCATTCTTCAGTCATAGGTTCATTGATCTTTTCCGAAAAAAGAGTCATCTACTTCATTCGGGGAAATCATCAGCCCGGAAATCATCCTTAAAAGGAGATGGCTATTGCTTCCTTCAATTTTGTTATTCAGTCCTGGCTAGGTTCATACATCTTTGCGGAAATCATCTTGGCCGAAAAAGAAGTCAACCATTTCAGTCAGGGAAATCATTTTTTGCCAAAGCCCATCCAATTCAAACTGAGTTTGAGGTAAATATGTTCTTCTTCAAAAATTAGTTCTACTTCATGATTCTTACAACTTCATTCAAATCTTCTGTTAGTCAACTTCAATTTCATATGTTTTTTAAAACCAATCCAGCCAAACCGATGTAGCTCTTCTTCGGATAAAAAGATTTATTCCAGTGATGTGTATTTTGTTTTGGAAATTTGAGAATTCGACGGTCTGAAAGCAAGGTGTTTGTTATAATTCCTCAATCAACAATGTCTGGCTGTTCTAGAAATTTGAGAGAAGTAGGTAGTATGATAGCTTTTAGTACATTCTTAAAACGTCATATTTAAGTTCTATTTGAAAAATGATATATTCATTACACACCTTACCATGAAAATTAAAAGGCCGGTTTTCCACTTACACTTCTGATGTAAGAAGTATATGTATTTGAGATTTACCTATATCTAAAAGCACTACACCGGAGAGAGAAAATTATCCCGCTTATTCTTCACTTAACGGGCCTAATCCTATACCTAAAAGCACTACACTGGAGAGAGAACAATTACCCCGCCTATTTTTCACTTAATCCTATACCTAAAAGCACTGCACTGGAGAGAGAAAAATTATCCCGCCTATTTTTCACTTAACGGGCCTAAATGCGTAATTTCTCCCGCATAGCGCCTTTCATTTCCTCAAATTTTCATCCTTCTATGCTTTATTTCCTTCTCGCTTCGGACTCCTACTGCATTTAGTTTCTTTTGCTTCTTTCTTCTTCCCAAATTGCAACAAGCGCCTCATAAGAAATCATCTACATGTACGATCTGCGGGGAAATAATCTGAAAAGAAAAATTGCTATAGCTTCCTTCAACTTCATTCTTCATCCCTAGGTTCATCGATCTTTTCTGAAAAAAGATTCATCTAGTTCATTCGGTGAAATCATCAGCCCGGAAATCATCCTTAAAAGGAGATGGCTATTGCTTCCTTCAATTTCGTTATTCAGCCCTAGCTAGGTTCATCCATCCTTGAGGAAATCATCTTGGCCGAAAAAGCTAAGGAGTCAACCATTTCAGTCTGGGAAATCATTTTTGGCCAAAGCCTAGCCATCTCAAACTGAGTTTGAGGTAAATATGTTCTTCAGAAATTAGTTCTACTTTATGATTCTTACAATTTCATTCAAATCTTCTATCTAGTCAACTTCAATTTCATATGTTTTTTAAAACCACTCCAACCAAACCGCTGCAGTTCTTCTTCGAATAAAAGATTTATTCCACTGGTGTGTATTTTGTTTTGGAAATTTGAGAATTGGACGGTCTGAAAGTAAGGTGTTTATTATAATTCTTCAATCAACAATGTCTGGCTTTTCAAGAAATTCGAGAGAAGTAGATAGTATGATAGCTTTTAGTACATTCTTAAAACGTCATATTTAAGTTCTATTTGAAAAAAAGTTCTATTTTCATTACATGTTACCATGAAAATCAAAAGGCCGTTTTTTCACATACACTTCTGATGTAGGAATTACATGTATTTGAGATTTTTCTTATCATCTATGTATTGTTTTTGAGAATATAAACACAATTAGTGACTCCCAAACACTGTTTGTCATTATAGAAATGACTTTTACACTTGGTTAATCCTTTGTGCATATGATCTATATGCATGTTTTTATGTTATAGTTTTCTCTCTTTGCTGCTTATTTAAGATTGAGGTGTTACTTCTTTTGACATGCCAAATACGAAATGCAGCTCAAATAATGTTTTCAAAAAAAAAAATGATGACACCCCATCCTTGAGGGCCCCCAACCCCGATCGGACGGTACGTTGGGAGGATGTTAGTTGGGCTATAATTATAATCTGACAGATAGAGATTGTAGCTCTGTCTCCGGTACTTGCAGAGGTCTTATGCATTTTTTCAGCATAGTAATCTCTCATCGCAGTTGCCGGGATTCGAACCAGTTGAGCTACACCCACCAGTTCAAATAATGTGTTCACATTCTACAAAAGGGTGCGTTTGGTTGGTTAAAGCTTGCGGGAGACGTGCCATATTGTCGAAGTGGAATATAAACAACCATGATAAACGTGATGATTTTAAAACTACACTCTATTTATGCTGATTCACCGATTTTCCTTCTTGATGCTTTGATTATCATCACATACGGGGTGTTCTTTTGTTTATAGAAGGTATTGGAATATTACACTATGTGCAGCCCCAAATGAAATCAAGCTATTTACATTTTGTTCTATTTTGCTTTAAAAAAAACATTTTTATTTTATAAATATTTTATTACTTTTTATTATTTTTAACGATTTGTATTATGTTTTACGATTTTTTATTATTTTTATGATTTTATTAGTAATTACACCCTCAGACCCTTTTATATTGTCCCGTTTTACCTTTTTGGAAAGTTCCACTAAAATTGTCCCATACCATATTTGGTAAAGTTTGTGAAGTTCTAAATCATTCTTACGTAGTACTTTATTCTTACTTTATCAATTAATATCAACCACACAACTCACTTTTCTTAATAACCGTGTCCTCTTCCGTCCCTATATAAAAGGGTCGGAGGTAGTGAAACATTTCAAAAGCTACAAGGTATATTTGTCCAAACACACATAAATAGTCATATTAGGAAAATTTAAAAAATGTAATCATATTCATGCAATTTTGCCACTTTTTAGTCCTATTTAGGTAATTCACCCTAGTTTTTTTTTTTGCGAAACCAGAATTATTTAGTTAAGGATGGGTCTTACAACAATTTATAAATATTGTATGTTTAGCCACTGTTAATGTAAATGGCCAAATGAAACAGAAAGACTGGATTAAAATGCATCAAATAGAATAAGTACTAAAATGATAGATTTATTAGGTGAAGGACCAAAACGATATGATGATGATAGTTTAGGGACCATTTATGCAATTTACTCCATAAAGTTTGATAAGATACATGTCATTTTCTTCATTTCATTTTATTTCAATCAAGGGTAAGGTGGATTAATTTTAGGGAGAATTCCCTAAATAGGATTATAATAACATTTTTATTTCTGGAATAGGAGTAAATTTCTGTCAAATTTGATATTACTAGGCTTTAAAACATAACATTTTTTCGAAACTTGACAGATTACTCCTATTTAGGAAATAAAAAACATTATACTTCTATTTTGAAATTTGAAAACGTTTTTAGTTCTATTTAAAACAATTTCTATTAATTTTATGATGATGATATTTGAATGGTCTGAGTTGTTACAATTTAAACAGTTGATTCACGCCAGACAATAATTAGTTTCCTAGGAGAAGGGGAAGTGGCAGCGGCACGTACAGTAGTGTGGCCCTTGCGCGTGTATTACGGAGTAGTACTATATAGTAGCAGCAGTATATCACCGCCTACATGTATACCTTTTCTCCTTCCTCCCATTTCTTTCCTTCCTTTCCGATCAATCCACTCCATCGATGTAATCCACCCTTTTACCTGAAAGAACATAACATCTTTGACTCATCTTGGAACCCCATACCAGAAATGAGGAATCAGAAGCTCAAAGGTCATTTCTTTATCTTCTGCAAGTCTTTTCTCTGCACATTTTCTCCGTCGTATATGTGATACTCCGTACAGTATTCATATTATGCAGAGGAAAACGGCTGCTTATTAGACAAAATGTATGTAAAAGTAACAGAAACACCCACGGAACAGAGGCATCTCGATGAATGTGGAGGGTTTTTTGTTTTGAAAAAATGTGATAGCAGAGGGTTTGGATACATGGTTTTTATTGAAGGTCTTCTTCTCTTCATGCACATGGGTTTTCACTTTTCACTGATTAGGGGATTTCAAAACAAAATAAAAGAGAAGAAAAGAAAAATCTGCATGTGGTAGCTATATTTCTGTAGGTGTGGGTATTTAATTTATTTTATTTATGTAAAATCGCAATAACAGGAATGGAAGATAGTGATAAGAAGAAGGGGCTATGGCTGCCAGACAGCATAATGGCAGATATACTGTGCAGATTGCCCTCAAAAGCACTGGCCAGGCTGAGGTTCGTTTCAAAGGAATGGCAGTCCATCGTCTCCGATCGGACATTTGCCGCACTTCATCTCACCATGAAACGACGACGTCCCAAAGAGAAGCTGTCTGGATTCTTCCTCCAAGGCAGGCGCTATTGGTGCGACGAGGACATCAAATCTGTGAGCTACGTAGCTTGTTCCGATGACGATGACGTCAGAGAGGCGGCAGAGAAGAGCGTGCTGAGCTTTCTCCCGGAAGAGGTGGTCATTCTTTCTTCCATTCAAGGCATTCTCTGCTGCCGAAGCTTCTTCCCCTCACCTTCTTCCTCTCGACCCCGTCTGGTCTATGTCTGTAACCCTCTCACAAAGGAATGGACTTCTCTCGAATGGCCTCACCCTCCTAAAGAAAAAGAAACCAGCACTGCCTTGGTTCTCCACCTCTGCACTTCCCTTACTGACGTTTCCACAGATTTTCATCTCGTTTCAGTTTGCCAAAGAGTGGCCACCACAATGACCGACTTGGGGAATGTCCAAGAGGAAGATGAAGAGGATGATGAGTTCGAGTTCCGGTTCAAGACATACTCATCCCAAACAAAAGAATGGCGAGAGTCGAAAGAGGTGTGCATTTGCAGCAACAAGTTGCAGAAGAAGGGGTGTAGTGTGGGTGGGGAAGGCGGCAGAATCATATACTGGCTGACAGAGGATAACCGTGTGCTGATGTTTGATTTTAGGAATGATCTTTGTTGGATGATCAAGGCACCTTTTCCGTCTTCGGAGCTGAACTTCACACCCGGGGTGTGTTTGGGAGAAGGAGGTGATGATGGGAGGCTGCAGTATGTGCTGATTTCCCAGGATGGGTTCATGGTATGGGAGCTGGATGATCAGTTTGCATCCCTTTGGTCACTCAAGTACTTCATAGCTCCCGATGAGCTGGAGAAGGAGAATCCTGAAAGCATGTTTCGCATCTCCAAGAGACTGCAGTGTCATCTCACTATTGAGTCAGGTCCTTGGATCAATCCTTTGTCATTCAGAGATTCAACTCTTCTGCTGTGGATATATCCTGATATCCATGTGTTCGACTTCGACACGAGGAAGGCAAAATTGTTATGCCTTGATTCCGCTTTAGGACTGAGCTCTTGTTTATCCCCCATTGTCATTCCATACACCATGAGCTTGGTTCCTTTAGGTTAAGGACGCATATGAAGAGAAGTGCTGGAAGGAGTGTTCCTCAGATCTGTTTTGGTCTCATTGTCAAACTTTACCAGCACCCATTTTGTTGATCACAAGGGGGCGGGAATGCATTCAATAGCTGTTGCTTTTTTGCTCACTACCTTAGTAAACTGCACCACTGCATATATATATATATATATATATGTATATATATATATATGTATATATATATATATATGTATATATATATATATATATATAGATATATATAGATATAGATATCTCATATTAGCTCAAGTAACCTGCTTATTATGAACTAGAGTCCTAGTAAAGGCAAGTTGACACTTTTTTGTACTCACAATTGGAGAATTAGTCATTGGGTAAAGTTTAATTTTTGCATTTGGCTTGGGCCTTTTTAGCATTTGGATCGATTACAATTTGACATAATCTATCATCAATTGCGAGTTGATAGGTAAATTTTCTGAAACTTGTTGACTTTCAAAATAAGGACCGTATATATCTATCACCAACGGGCATATATATATAAACAAATCTTGCTCAATAGCCACCGGGCTGAAGCGCTATTTGTTATTCTGGTGTGTGCAAGGTTCGAATCCCCTTACCTGCTGTAACTTGATTTGTTTTTTTGCCATTCTAACTTTATTATTAAAACTTATTTATTTGTAACTTAAATCACTGATAATTACATATTTCATCCACTTCTTATATATATATTTGGTTTTGTATTTAATAAACTATATAATGTCTAAACCAATGGTCCAAATTAGTTAAAAATAATTTATTAAATTAAACTAATACTATCCTTCTTTACGTTTTAATCGCAACATGTTGAATTTTACACTATTCACATGCTTTACTTTAACTACATTTTACGCTATTATTTTATGAAAAATATTTTTTTTTTTAAAATATTGTTCATTTCATCTCATCACAAATTTTCAAAATCTGTTTTTAATATTTTTTTACTAATAGAATTAAGATATAATTATGGTCAAACACGTGCGTTGGCAAATGTGAAATGTTGACCGTTGTAACTATAAAAGAACGGAGGGAGTAATTGATATGTAATTTCAATCAAATCTTTTTGGACTTAGTACTCAAACACAATTATTTATTTGAGTTTATAAGTTTATCAGTTATAAACTTATAATTACATACTTCACCCGTTATTTTTTGTTGCAACAATCCACTTTTCACGCTTGCCCGCACAAGTTTGACCATTGATATTTTCATTCCTTCTTAACAAAAAAAGTTAAAAAAATCCAGATTTTGAAAATTTAAACTGAGAAGAGTTTAAGAACATTTTTTTTACAAATTTAATTTATAATATAACAATAAATAAAATATAATCAAAGTAGAATATGTTGTGAACAGTACAAAAAACCCAATATTACAATTAAAAGAGAATGGAGGTACTATTTCATCTGTTTCTTATAAAAATTTATTTTGTTTTTAATAAACTTTCGCTTTATAATCAATATTTGTTTCCTAAAAATTGTGTGATAACGTTAGTGTAAATTTATTTTAAAAAAAAGTGTAAATTTGCCCTCACTCGCTAAATTTTCTGGATACGCAACTGCCTACAGAGTTACTTTTAGAAAAGCTTTTGCCACATAAAAAAATGAAATTGATACTAAGAGCAACCCCAATGTGATATTTCCTAGTAAAGGTAAATAATGCCAATTGTCAAATGATCAATAGACTTTCTACATATAGACTTTCTACTTAATTTAATTTAGGGGATTACGTGGAATGATTTTTTCAATTTAAACTTTTAATCTTCGACCATCTCCTCCTATCCACCGGATCCATACTTCTTTCTCCTCTGGTAGTTATCAACATTTTGTGCACTGAAGTGGGTATTCAATCTCCTCGATTCTGCTAGTACTCCGCCACCACCCCTCGATTTCACCGCAACATACATGATGTGCTGATTTTTCAGTTTTAAAGTCATTTCAACTTTGTTGAGATGAGCTCACATCTATGACATCCACCTATTTCACAATCCAAAAGCACGTCAGCGTCGGCCTCCATTTTAGGGTGCCATTTTCGTCCGATTTGAAGTCGGAGTCCCTAAATGCGGCGGCGGCCATAAAACTACATCTGCCGTGTGTTTGTGTGTCACAACTATATTATATATACATAGTATATACTTGTATTATTTATATTATTATATGTTAAATTGCGATGGTAAAGAAATTGAAGAGGCAAATGCGTTTTATGGGGTGCAATTGGTCCAGTCAGCAAGTGGAAGAGGCTGTCTATACTCACACGGTCATCTTGACAATGTTCAATTTTTTTTGTCAAATCATCAAAAGACTATGTGCATTGGAAGCCAAATTCAATACACAATGTCTCTATTGATGACATGGCACACGTTTTGTTCACTAGAAAGCATTCTCCAAGAGAGATACATTCCACTTTTCTTTTCTATTTTCCATTCTCCAATATTTGGTTTTTGTTTTTTCAGTTTCTTTATCTCTAATTTTCTGTTTTCATTTTCTAGTTTTTAATTTTCAAATCTGAAAAATGTTAATCCAATTTTTTCACTTGATGTTGTGACTGACCGGAAGACTGAAAGTACACTCCCGGTCCCACTATGAAACCAAACCTAGTACAACCGAAGTGGTTTCTCAAGTCGCTTTGAGTTGCCACGTTGTCATTTCTCCTCAGGAAATCGCTCCGCCGTGAACGAGACCCTTCGTCCTTGTTCACGACCCGATTCAATGAAGCACCGCCTTGATTGCCCATGCACGCAAGTCACAGTTTTTCTTCTCCATTTTCGATATCCGATCAGCACCCCCCTGCGCGTGAATAGAGCATTTCCCCTTGAAAATCTTAACTCCTTGAAGAAGAAGAAAACTTTCCTCTCGGATAAAGGGAGCGATTTCATTATATGAGGAAAGATGTCCGCATTAATGTATTTCTATTCTCATTGTGTTGTTTTCTATTGCTATGTTTTTTTGTTTTTCCTAGAGGGTGAGGTAAATACTCCTTCTTTGTATATTTTCATTTTTGTTAAATACAATAAAATCATTTCTTCAATATATATATATATATATATATATATATATATATATATATATATATATATATATATATATATATATATATATATATAGGGAGTGGTTCCAGTAAGAATGGGCTCCCGGGAGAAATGTACAGAATAAAAAATTAAACTCAAGTGTGCATTAGATGAAATCGAAATGTGCGGAACAAAAGATACAAAAATAACATCACATCGCTCCTATTATTATGCACATTTCAGTTTCACCTAGTGCACATTTCAATTTCACTGAATGCATAATTCAGCTTCACATAATGACACTGTATCGTACCATTTGTGCCGCACATTTCAATTTCACCTAATGCACATTGAATTTCACTTAAAGTAAATCTAACGGTCCAGATTCATTCTCATTTCTTTCCTAAGATCATGTTCTTATTTGAACCAAAACATATATATATATATATATATATATATATATATATATATATATACACACACACACACATGCTATTCTAATTCGAGCCCCAATTTAATTTAAAACTAATTATTACTCAGTCCAATGTAGATGAAATTGAAGATAATGAATATCCCCTTACTTCAACAAGTTTTGTTTTGATCCACTATTTTTATAAAAAATATATCAAAATTCATAACTTTTTATTATCTTTCATATGACACTAATATAGGATATATAAAAATTAATAAATAATTTGACACTTTAAAAAAATCTACTTTTTAAAATATTGGTGTCATATGAAAGATAATAAAAATTGTGAATTTTGATATATTTTTTATAACGATCGCAGTACAAATAAAAAAAAGATATAGCACTTTAAAAAGTAGATATTTTAAAGTGTCAAATTATTCATTAATGTTTATATATTCAATATTGTTGTCATATGAAAGATAATAAAAAGTTATGAATTTTGATATATTTTTTTTATAAAAAACCGAGTACAAATAAAAAAGTTATACCACTTAAAAAAACATGATATTTTTTTTATGGTAGGGCCCATGTCTCAAGTTTTTTTCCTTCTGTGCTTCTACGTGCGTAAGTTTTTTGCTTATATAAGAGGGGTTCTTTAATTCTAGTTATCCCAACAGTATTTTCGGAAATACTTTTAATCCAACATTATGGATCACTAGTGAAAAAACGTCAATTAGAGGCGCTTCGTTTGAGGCGCTTTTCAGCACAAGCGCCTCTGTTAGGGAATATTTTATTTTTTATATTTTTTTCGATTGCGTGCGGCGTTTCTTGGATAAAAGCGCCTCCATTTTGTACCCCAGATAATTTGTTTTCAAAAAAATTATGAATCGTGCGGCGCTTTTATCTAAGAAGCGCCTCCAATTTTCTTACCGATTTTTTTTTAAATTAATGCCACGCGTGCGGCGCTTAGGCAAATAAGCGCCTCTAATATTATTTTTTTAAATTAATTTCTTCGCGCTTGCTACGCTTATCAGAGAAGCGCTTCCAACAATAAACCCTAAGCGACCAAATTGATCTGTTAGTTCTACGCTTCATTGCAGCCGCACCGACGTCAACGCCACAGGAAAAATATCACCGGATCTGCTCCGGCTCGGCGTGGACTGCTCCGGCTCGTCGTGGACTGCTCCGGCTCGCGGTGGACTGCTCCGGCTCGTCGTGGACTGCTCCAGCCGGCATCGCAGGTCAGCATTTTTCAATTACGTTTTGGAATATACGGAAAGGGAAAGTTGCAATTGATTTGTAACCCTACCAATTTGATCGATCACTACGCGCGAGCAGAAAGGTTTGGGCGGCCGCACTCGCCGCATCTTCTATCGCCGAAGGAGCAGCTCCTCTGGGGGCTGTCGCCGCCTGATAAAGGCAGAAGCGGGGGCCACCGGAGCTATCTGCGTCGAGCTAAACCCCTTCTTACCCTGCCTTTGGATTCATATTTTGTTCGTACACAATCAATGGAGGCCTTCCAGAAGTTTTTATTTCTCACTCCAACTGTACTTTTTCTTACTTCATCCATAGCTTTCTGTTCAATTGTGTTAAAAAAAACGCTAATCAGGAAAGAGGCTTTACTCTTGCTTGTCGATCTCTATTCCTCCTCGTTCTAACATCGGCCATACATACCCTTCTCTTGGCCGTGTCTAATTGGTTCAGTTAGAAGGTTGTGAAGGTGGCCTCGTTATCCATAACCCCGGTCGGATGAACGGAGGACTGACCGGACCCGGGGTTTCACGAGCGTTTTCTTTCACTGAACACAAAACGGGCTTTAGAAAGATGTTCCCATCTTGGTGGTTCTTCAACATATACTTTTTCTATGATTGATGGACTACTTCGATTCCCATGTTCTGTTTATGCGCCAGAATATCAAGATAATAGGTAGGAAGATCATACAAAAAAGAAGAAATGGGTCAAATTCGAACCAAAACTCTCAAAA